CCACTTGAAAACATGAAAGTTGTAGGAAATTGTCTTAGCTTTCTTGGGTAAACAATTGAGGACAGATTCTGACTTTTTTGTTATTGCTATAGTTTGGACTTGAAAATTACCTTTTTAAATCTTAGGCTCCATATGAAAGTTATAGGTCTATGTCTTACCTTTCCATCCATATAAAGTAGACCTAAATACAAGATCTAAAGCTCCAGATATGACCGAAATACCAATCAGTATTCCGGTTTGGACTACACCAACAGCTCTTTTCTAAGTTTGGCCATCTCTTTGTCATTTCAATTTCAGTTCTTAAATTCATCAATCAATCATTTCATTTATGTGATAGGTCTGCATTTAAAATAAACATTTTCCACAAATTAAAGGTTTTAAAATATGTTTTAGTTAAAGAGTTATTAATATTTCAAGTGCAAACTGATGATATAAAACTTTGATAAAAAAAAAAATTACACTTTTAAATACTAATCACAAAGCTTGATCACTAATAATATAAATATTAAATGATAAAATAAAAAAATAAATATAAGATAAAAAATAAATAAATAAACCAAGTAAACAAGAGCAAACCTTTTAAATTTGGGCTAAGATCTCAAACTCGCAACCCATTAAATGCTAGACTTGGACTAAATCAATAAGCTCAATTCTCAACCAATTTAAGTATATTCAAAGAAGAACAACAAATAAAAAGACCCGAGAAAACTAAGTGCTTTCACTTATTTTTAAAATTTGTGAAAAATCCTACAAAAAGTAGATAAATAAAAACAACAAACCTCGATTTCTAATTAAATAAATGCTAAAGGATGAAACTTAAAAAACATAGTTTAAAGAAAGGGGAAAGAACCAAATAAATCTGAATGAACTTCTTAAACCTAAGTTAATTTCTTAAACCTAAAGCCCATGTAATTCTAGACTCAAACTCCATTAAAAAGCTCAATTTCTCACCAGTTTAACGTGTAATGATGAAATAAAAAAAATCATCAATTTTAAAAAATTTATCAAAGCAAAAAAAAAAATAGTAATAAAACTAGGAATCAATTTTGATAGGAAAAAAAACCTAAGTATGATGAAATTAAAAAAAAATCTCAAATAAAAAAAAACAATAAAAGAAATGGGAAAGATTAAAAAATGAAAAGGGGAGGAAATTGTAAATAAATCTTAATTTTATAAATTGTTTAAAAAATTTATTCCAAAATAAAATTTAAAAATAGAATAAAAAAAATATCAATTTAAACAAGTAGCTAAAAAAACCCAACAAATAATGACAAATAAAAAGACTTGAGATTAATAGGGTCATTTTCAAGACCATTAAAAACTTCTACAGAAAACGAATAAGTAAGAACAATAAAACCTAGTTTCCAATTAAATAAATGATAAAGGATGAAAATAGGGATAACAAACTTAAACAATAATAAAAACCACAAAAACCTAAGATGAAGCTCCTAAACCTAGTATAATATTTAAAGCTCATATCCCATGAAATTCTGGATTCGGGTTCAATTATCAAAAAATTTAAAGTTGAATGATAAAGTCATGAAAAATAAATAAATCTTGAGACGATCCAAATAAAGTCAAATTTAAATTTTGGCATAAAATTTCCTATTATCTAATTTTACGTTATTGAACATAACTCCAAAGTCAACCATTGGATCGAGCTAAAATTTGACATGAAGATTGCGGAGGTATTGGTCTATATTGGGGTAACCTTTCAGATGAATCGGAGTTTGGAAAAAACATGCGATATAGGTCAGAACATGCTATATAAATTTTATTATTTACTTCCTTTTGACTTATAGACTTTCTATTTTGCTAAAATTATTTTCCTACAAGGATGTGGCAGCTTGTGAAGAATCTCCTATCTCTACAAGGATTTTTAATGGGCTGCACTATAGTTTTCAAGTGTGGTAAGGATTTATAGATGTTTAAGAATCCTTTTTTTACAAAGATTTCTTATTCATCCGAACTACAACAAGGTAAAAGGACTCTAGAATTAATTCTACCTTCAGATCAAATTTTCTAGTCTATTTGAAACTTTTCAGGGTGATAAATCTAATTCTAGCATATTTAGGATAGTAATTTTTGAATTTTTATTATTTTCTTCTTAGTCTTTGGGTTATTATTAATTATTTGGGTTAATTGTAAGTGGGTCTCATTTAAGTGCACTTAAGTGGGTCCATTAAAGTTTATTTAAGTCTAAAGTTAGAATAAATAAAGGCATAACTAGACATGTAAGTTAGATAGTTCAGATTAATAAAACTTCATGTTTACTGCACTCTGTGTGTGTGTGTTGGTGAGATACTCTCAGAAACTTTTCAGGGTGATAAATCTAATTCTAGCATATTTAGGATAGTAATTTTTGAATTTTTATTATTTTCTTCTTAGTCTTTGGGTTATTATTACTTATTTAGGTTAATTGTAAGTAGGCTACATATATGTCCACCTAAGGGGGGTCTATTAGGGTTTCTTTAAGTTTAGAGTCATTATAAATAGAGGA